ACATGTCTAACCCAAATCTGTACATAGAATGTTTCATCGCTCGCGAGACACGAGAGAAACGATAAAACGGACTCGCGTTGGCGTACACGCTATCTGCCAAAGGTATTGAATTATTAGACGTGGAAATTAATTCTCCCGTCATTTTGAGATTCTGAAATAGCAACTTTAGTCTTCGTAAAGTTCTAATATTGAAGCAATGAATAATATAATACCTCTTGGTCAAGTTTAGGGATGGAATTATTAGATATAAAAATTAATCCTCCCGCCATTTTGGGATTCTGAAATAGCAACTTTAGTCTTCGTAAAGTTCTAATATTGAAGCAATAAATAATATAATACCTTTTGGTCACGTTTAGGGATGGAATTATTAGATATAAAAATTAATTCTCCCGCCATTTTGGGATTCTGAAATAGCAACTTTAGTCTTCGTAAAGTTCTAATATTGAAGCAATAAATAATATAATATCTTTTGGTCAAGTTTAGGGATGGAATTATTAGATATAAAAATTAATTCTCCCGCCATTTTGGGATTCTGAAATAGCAACTTTAGTCTTCGTAAAGTTCTAATATTGAAGCAATAAATAATATAATACCTTTTGGTCACGTTTAGGGATGGAATTATTAGATATAAAAATTAATTCTCCCGCCATTTTGGGATTCTGAAATAGCAACTTTAGTCTTCGTAAAGTTCTAATATTGAAGCAATAAATAATATAATACCTTTTGGTCACGTTTAGGGATGGAATTATTAGATATAAAAATTAATTCTCCCGCCATTTTGGGATTCTGAAATAGCAACTTTAGTCTTCGTAAAGTTCTAATATTGAAGCAATAAATAATATAATACCTTTTGGTCACGTTTAGGGATGGAATTATTAGATATAAAAATTAATTCTCCCGCCATTTTGGGATTCTGAAATAGCAACTTTAGTCTTCGTAAAGTTCTAATGTCAAAGCAATAAATAATATAATTATATTCCACGTGTTTTCCTCTTGAAATTTCAATTACAGAGAAAGGTTTCTGCGTCATCTGTTCCTCGTTTTGTGCGACACGAGCGTAAAAATTGCTCTAATTGTGTCGCATCGTATCATGAATTGCTATGCATGATTTTCGCCCGATTTCTTCACGTTTTATGCGTTCAATAATCTGTAACTATCAAGAACATCACTTACCCACGCAATTCGAAGGGACGCCGAGAACATCGGAATAGGAACTCGAGATTAGTATCGCCGAACTATGCGATAAAAAAATGTATTCGATGTTGCAACGCTGTTTCGATCGACGCTGCACTTACGAACATGTGACTAATTATTCGATGCGACGATTAAGACGCGACGCTCGGAGTCTGTCCAGTATTTTCTAATTACGGACGATCGTAATTAGTTTATCGTAATTTAGTTTAAAACGTTTATCAACAGCGGGAACTTATGCAAATATCGCGATGTCTACCGGAAGGATTACGAATAACTGCCACGGAATTAATGTCCAATTTTCCTTAACGAACGATTCCGGCTAAATTACAAGCGAAATGAAGCCGGCTCCAAATTTTATTACAGCTTTTATTCGATGTGCCACACGCTAGAGATTTTTATTGGCGCTACGAATTCATGAAATCCCGTAATTTGCTTGCAACCGGCGTAGTGGCCGGTTACCATCGAAATTATGAAACTGCGCTTCTGCAGAACGTAGTCGCTCGTTTTGGTAAAAAGTGTTCGTATTTTTAGACATCGATGCCCGGGAGCCGGGTGAAACGCTGGCTTAAATCGCGGGTAGTTATATTTGGTTTCGCGTCGCGCATGTATTTTTCAAAATAAAATATTCCGCGTGTTCGGCAAAGTTGTATTTTCGAAAATGAAATATCTCGCTCGCTCGCTCGAGAAAACTGTGCTCTCGCGAATGAAATATTTCGCTCGTTGCAGAGGCTGCTCGAAATAGTACTTCAGATGGGATTTTTTATTCGAAATAAGCTCGGGAGATATTTTATTTATTTATCTGCCTATTTACTTTTCTTTTCGTTGCAGCTATTTCACTTTACGTTTCGAAATACGATGTTTCATGATTGTTGAAATATTTTATTTACCGAAATTCCATTTCTCGCTCGAAACAGTGTTCGATTCCAATTGCGAAAAATATTTATTATTATTAAGAGATTTATTGTTATCTAAAATAGCGCTTGCAACATTTTACCGTAAATATTTTATATTTCGAGCGATCAAAATAAGACATTTCTCGTTTCGGATCGTTAAAATATTTTATTTACCGAAATCTCATGTCTCACACGAAACAGTGCTCGATTCCAAAAATATTTATTATTATCAAAATATTTATTGTCATTTAAAACAGCGCTTGCAACATTGTACCATAAATGTGTGATATTTCGAGCGATCAAAATAAGACATTTCCGATCGTTAAAATCAAATATTTTATTTACCGAAATCCCATTTCTCACACGAAAAACAGTGTTCGATTCCAAAAATAATGATTATGAAAATATTTATATTGTTATTTAAAACAGCGCTTGCAACATTTCGCCATAAATACTTAATATTTCGGGCGATCAAAATAAGACAATTTCCCGTTTCGGAAAACGTTCAAACGAAATTCTCGCGTGAAATTTCAACTGTACAGAATCTATTATTTAAAGCAGCGCCAGCAATATCTCACCGTAAACATTACCCACCGCGCTAACCGCTGTTAAATTAATGACAAATACACCATCCTCGTAGACCACGCCCTATCTCGGGCGCAACGAAGGAACGGCGGCAGATCGATAAATGAATAAATAAAGTCCATTTAATAATAGGGGAGACCGTATCGCTGGGAACATCGGATCGAACGATTGTCCGAACGCTTCGCAGAATTCCTCGGGATCGATAGAATACTTTGATGAAATAGACCGTGGAACATTTCTGTCGCATCGTCAACTGTCGAGAGAGAGAAACTTTATTGTTAGTTTACTCGCTTTGCTTTCTTTCTCCTCGGGCCCGCGTGCGCCTTGACGCGGAAACGAGAATAAATCTCGCAAGCTTCGAATCGCGCGGCGACGAGAACGAAGAAAGCAAGCGAATCGGCGGGCGAGGGGGGTTATAAACATATATGCTGTACAGGTTAGTAGAAATTCGACAAGTTTATTATCACTTAACGGATACAAAGGAACAGATTGTTAGCTCGTTAGTCCTAGGTTCCATCAAGCACCGCGAGATTCTTTCGACGTCGACGCGACGTCTCCTACGCGACACGCGCCGTTCGGCTGCCTAAGTGGCACGTGTTGCCTTTATGCGCTTACTATAACACTATCCTAGAACGTATTACTCTAAATTGAAAACCCTCGAAATCGTTAAGAACCGCCACAGTGTGCCGAGAGAGATCGTCGGCTGGATCAATTCGTCGATCGTCTGACCGACGTTAACATCGTTATTGTGTCGTATTCGTTGCTCGATTCCTATCATTCGATCGTGTATAGAGAGGCCCAACGGTTCACGCAAAGAGCCGCCATATTCGAGGTATAATAATCCTCGAGGAAAACGTCGCACGGTCCAGCGGAAAGTTCTCGCGCTTTTTTCTTTCGTGTTTTCGGTTTTTCTTCTCGTTCGACAGACAAGTCTTCTTCATTTTGCCAACTGTTGCGCCGCGTCGTGCATCGCGAGCGACCATAAAATTTAACATTTATAACATTTGTATCGTGCGTTCGACGAACGGGCTTGGTCGTCGTTTTCACGTTCGTTATACGTGCACGGAAAAATATGCGTTTTCCGTTCGATGCTCGTTTGCTGGTTTATTCGAAACCGTGGCTGTTCGCGGCTTTTGTTCGATTGGCGCACCTTGCCGCTCGACTTTAGTGCATTCGAATCGGCCGTGTGCCTTGCGGAAACCGTATACAAAATCAATCACGGAAAGCTATAAAGTCTGATCGAAGCGTTTGCACAAACCGCCGTTCATTTCTGTGTCGTACGGATTCGATCGGACAATGAAATGCGCGATACGGCTCGATGAATTACAAGTGTCGCTGTTTGCGCGCGCGCGTGTGTGTCACTGTGTTGAGAGCGGCGATTCCAATTGTGCATATTTCTTATGTATATTCTTTATAGTAATGTATTATTGTAAGGAAAACACGAAGACGTATCTACGAAATCGAATCGGCGAGAAGTTCGACTCGCTCGTTGCGATTCTTCCGCAACGGAGACCGTTGACGAAATCTTTCCGACAACAACATCGCCGTAGACGAAACGGGAGATCACTTAAAATGTAACAATTAGTATCAGCATCGTTTTAAAACAATCTCCGAAAGAATCAGCGTGTACCTGGTTGCTCATATATTTATAATAAAACTGGCAAAATTTCAAACGACGAGAACGTTTACTTAATTTAAGGAAATCTAAGCATTATTTTCGAGTCACCGAAGCTATTTAAGAAAGAACGAGCCCTTCGTTCGATCCGTTTTCATCGCGAAGACAAGTTTTATTCAGAGATCCTGCCCGCGACCAGCCATTGTTGCGCGAACGGGCGCGCGACTTTCAAAATCCGTCTCCAGCACGAAACATTCGCCGTTCGGAAGCTTGAAAAACGGCAGAACTTTCCAGGACCGGACCGTAGCGACTACTCCGCTGCTCTATAAACTAAAAACCGACGCGAAGAAAGCCTGATCGACTTTTTCGAGCCGGCTGAAACGAGATTCCGGCGCGTCGATCCGAAACACGACGTTCCGGAGAGAAAAGAAAAATCCGTTCTAAAGTTAAACAAAAGAAGCAAAAATCGTCGTCTGAAAGAGAAAGTTGGTCTCTCGAATGATCAAGCAGCGACTGGTATGCGAACTGGTCGACGAGCTGAAAACGTTTACGGAAGAGGCACGCGTGATTTCTGCGGTCGGGGTGGTTTCGATTCTCTTCGCAGGGCCGCGGCGTGGCAAATGCGAAAAGTGTTCGCACACCGACGGCGATTACGGCCGATTAGTATCGCAGAATATAAGGCGGCCTGTACGGCGTACGCTCTGTGAACCCACCTTTGCAGTGGCCGAAGGCCTGCGCGACCACGTCCGCCTGATGGCGGCAAGCGTAGAGCCTTAGTTCGCATTCGTTGTCGTATGTCTGTCCGTCGGTACCGCAAACCGGGACCAACGGTATGTCCGATGGACAGGACGACAGACATTCGCAGTGCGGGCCACCGATCTCCGAGCAGTGGGCGCCGGAATAACATTCCAGCTTGTCGCAGGACGTCGGTATCGGCGGTATCGTATCCACTGCAAGCAGACGCGACCATTAACGCCGGAATGCATCGGCTCATCGATTGCTATTAGACCGTAAACTTCGATGCGAGATCATCCCCGCGGGATTTTAGTGCGCGGTACACGTTGCCCGGAACATGATCGCGAACATGATCGTTTTCGGTAAATTCGCAAAAATTGATGCTCCCGATTCTTGGACGAGAATGGACAGATACGATTTGTTCGAGTCTTGCGGCTCGTTAACTGTAAATTTACTATGAATTGGCTGTATTTTTATGAAATTTGTGCTGTTAGATTTACCGTGAATTGATTGTATTTTTATTAAATTTATGCTATTCCATTTAGTCGAGGCTCGCACTTTTAACGTTCGACGAACGGATCCAATAAATGTACGATTATATTTCCCGATTTTTCTTTCGTTTATTTTGATTTGTCAATTCGATCGTTGCGCTGTCTGTGAGACCGTTCTATTCACGAGATTTCTAATCATTTCTATGATTTTGAATTACTTTGAATTACTTGCTGGATAAAAATGTTTCAGATCACTTTGCAACATATTTTAAGAGAAGATTTGTTAATTTTTCATTTCTCTGCGTTTGAGAGAAAGTAAAACGATTCGAATCTACCCGGATTACTCTCTATAATAATTATTAGTATTTATTATTAATTGTTATTAATTCGTTAATTAGCAAGGAGCGAAATTCTACGCGATGGCTTAACCCTTTGCACTCGGAACAGATTTTGCAAACATTGACATTTCGTTATGTAGAATGGAATTGAAAGAAAAATCATTATACTACCCGGAAGTGTTATGGGAACTGATAAATAAAAGATCTTGTGTTTTTATTTATGCATTTTACGATTTTATAATTACGAGTGCGAAGGGTTAAAGGTTATGTTATCAAATAAATAAATTGCCCTTCATAAATGCGTTGCGCTCCCTCGCGTACAATACCTGGATAACAACCGGTCGGTGTTAATATACTCTTGTGATCAGTGCACATCGTGCACTTGTGGCCAGCCATGTCCGGTTTGCAAATGCAGATGCCCGACATCTGTTCGCAGTCCTCTCTGACGGAGCCGAACAGCGAGCAGCCGCACGCTGAAGCATCGGATAATAATAAATTGTAGAAACTTCACTCGGCGAGAATGGATGTGTGTACAAGATATATTTGCACGTCGAAGTCATCTTTTTACTAGATGCGTACGCTTTTTCTTTGTAATCGAATTCATCCTTTCGCAGGTCGTATTCAACATTTTTCTATCAACTGCACCCTTTTGCAAATCAAATGCATTTTGTGTCTGAACTAAAGTAATAAATTTCAGGACAATTTTACAATGGTTTTTACATTTATTACAATAGCTTAAGGTGTACAAAGCCTAGCTTTGGTGTACAAAAAGGTGAATTTGATTTCCAAAGGGGTGAATTTGACTCGCAAATGGGCGAATTTAATGAAAAAAAGTTGATCCGATCTACAAAAAAGTGGACTTAATTTTAAGAAAGTTGATCTGATTTGCTAAACGGTAAATCGAATTTTATAAAGTTGAAGAATTCAAGAATTTTATAAATGATTGATCTCAATGATTTACCGATCGGTGAATTTAATTAAAAAAAGACTGCTTCGATTAACAAAAAGGCGAATTTGATTTTTAAAAAAAGAAATAATGAATTTGATTTACATCTGGATCAATTTGATAAAATAGGAAAAATGAACTGAATAAAAAGAAGTGGACGACTTTGAAGTGCACTATACATATAAAAATATAAAACATATGAAAACAGTTTTAAGCTCGAGAACTGCATAAAATGAACTGCATGTTCCGATCGGTTAGAAATTCTTACGTATGCATCCTTGATTGCCCTTGCTGATCTTGGACAGTCCCCAATAGCCCGGCATGCAACTGTTGCATTTCAGGCCACCGACGCCAGGTTTGCACTCGCATTGGCCGGTCTCCGGGTTGCAAGTGTCGGAGACACTGCCCCACCTGTTGCAGTTGCACAAACTTGGGCAACCTGCGCCGTTGGGTCCGCGTGCGGCAGTCTTTCCATCCGGGCAGCATCCGTGCCAGGAGTCCGAGCATTTCACCACTTGGGTTTCTTGAGCTGAGCCCGAAATTTACGTTTAACTCAGGTTCGTCTTATCGGGCGGCGAACGTTCCCTAATTGCAGTCATTTTTCCCTAATTCGCGCTCAGATTGCTTACAAAAATGGACAATTTGGGAAGAGGATAAATTTTCTATATTTTTATTATGTTTGTGCTATTAAATTTATGCTATTAAATTTACTATACTGTTAAATTTATACTATTAAATTTATGCTATTAAATTTACTATACTATTAAATTTATACTATTGAATTTATAGTATTAAATTTATTATACTATTAGTAGTATACTAATTAATTGTATGATAATATGTATACTATTAATAGTATACTATTAATACTATATTATATCATATATTATTTTAATAGTACAGTAAACTTAATAGTATAAATTTAATAATATAATAAATTTCATACTGTAAATGTAATAGTATAAATTTAATAGTATAATAAATTTCATACTATAAATGTAATAGTATAAATTTGCAAGTCTGTGTTCATTTATCTCGCGATCGTCGAATATCCACCGAGTTGTCATAATTATATTATTATCATAGCAAAGCATCGGCCCATTTAGATGTAACGGGAATGAGAAATAGAATCAAATGTTAGCCCGATTAATATCAACGCGTTTATGGGAACAGTGAACAGGTGTTATTGGTTCGCGAACGTTCGCGGGAATTCAATTTGCGTACGCGATCGATTCGGCAAGAAATTTATGTTTTATGGATGTTTGGTGGATGATCGAGTGATTAAACGATTCGTACGGCAACGTGGNCGTGCCAGGATTCGACAGTCATTCCCTAATTGCAGTCATTTTTCCCTAATTCGCGCTCAGATTGCTTACAAAAATGGACAATTTGGGAAGAGGATAAATTTTCTATATTTTTATTATGTTTGTGCTATTAAATTTATGCTATTAAATTTACTATACTGTTAAATTTATACTATTAAATTTATGCTATTAAATTTACTATACTATTAAATTTATACTATTGAATTTATAGTATTAAATTTATTATACTATTAGTAGTATACTAATTAATTGTATGATAATATGTATACTATTAATAGTATACTATTAATACTATATTATATCATATATTATTTTAATAGTACAGTAAACTTAATAGTATAAATTTAATAATATAATAAATTTCATACTGTAAATGTAATAGTATAAATTTAATAGTATAATAAATTTCATACTATAAATGTAATAGTATAAATTTGCAAGTCTGTGTTCATTTATCTCGCGATCGTCGAATATCCACCGAGTTGTCATAATTATATTATTATCATAGCAAAGCATCGGCCCATTTAGATGTAACGGGAATGAGAAATAGAATCAAATGTTAGCCCGATTAATATCAACGCGTTTATGGGAACAGTGAACAGGTGTTATTGGTTCGCGAACGTTCGCGGGAATTCAATTTGCGTACGCGATCGATTCGGCAAGAAATTTATGTTTTATGGATGTTTGGTGGATGATCGAGTGATTAAACGATTCGTACGGCAACGTGGTATTTCAGACTAGACTGAAAATAGACAATTTGGGAAGAGGAGCTACGATTGTTCGAGCCTTGCGGCCCGTTTTTATAGTTGTTGACAATCGGAAACTATGTGAATTTACTGTATTTTTGTTAAATTTATACTATTAAATTTATTATACTATTAATAGTATTAATATTAGTATTTATACTATTAAATTTGCTATGCTGTTAATAGTATTTATACTACTATTTATACTATTAAATTTACTACTATTAATAGTATTTATACTATTAAATTTACTATACTATTAATAGTATTTATACTATTAAATTTACCATACTATTGATAGTATTTATACTATTAAATTTACTATACTATTAACAGTATTTATAATCTTAAATTTAATATACTATTAATAGTATTTATACTATTAAATTTGCTATATTATAAATAGTATTTATGCTAGTATCTATACTATTAAATTTGCTATACTATAAGTAGTATTTATACTAATATTTATAGTATTAAATTTACTATACTATAAAGAGTATTTATACTAGTATTTATAGTATTAAATTTACTATACTATTAATAGTATTTATACTATTAAATTTGCTATACTATAAATAGTATTTATACTAGTATATATACTTTTAAATTCATACTATACTATTAATAATATTTATATTAATATTTATACTAGTATTTCTCCTATTAAATTTAATAGTACAGCAAATTCTTATATCCGCAATCTGAGCGCGAATTAGGGCGAAATTACTGTACACGCAACCTTGCCTTATTTCATAACGTGTTCGCTCCGTGTCTATTTATTAATAAACGTCGGATCTTCACGCGTTCAGAGAATTTACGAAAAAGAGTTCAAAGCCTCCCGTTGAAATCTAGTGTCCGAAAAGGAAACGACGCAGTGCAGTGAAACCGACCTTTTCTGCAGCATCGAGCGATTCGCGTGGTTTGGTGGCAGTAGCTGTTACTTGGGCAGTCTCTTCGTTCTGGTCCGTTTCCGCAATCGTATTCTTTCCCTTCTTCGTCCACGATCGGGGGATCGCCGTTGCAGGGCTTCACTTCCATGCCTGCATCAAAAAGTAGACGTTTGTAAAATACACGGAGTGAAAATAACAATGAAAAAGTCGAAATATAACGAAATAAAAATAAAATTGCAAAACAACTGAAACGAAAGAAAAGTCACATAAATTAAGCACACTCTCAGGCACAAAATTGTCCACGTATCTAATTACGATTCTAATAAAAATAATAAATCCTATTTCGATTCGCTGCAGCATAAAAAACTGTGCCGAGAAGTCTGCGCAGAGAGAGAAATTAAAAATAAAGTGCCACACGAAATATAAATAACAGTATCAACGGAGTTACACTGTATAAACAATTTAGAAGCATGCTTCTTCACGACAATCCGCTACTCTTACGATAAAAATGATTTCACCTCGAGTCACTGAATTTTTAAGTAGAGCAATCTAAAACCGACGTCACATTTTATCGCTGCAGCAAAACGCACGATTTTTAAATCCGCAAGAGCGCGCGTTGCCGACTAAAAAGCGGCGAGAACAAAATTTCGCGTAAATATCTAAAAGCGTCAGCCGCTTTCGGAGCACCCCTAATAAATAAATAAACAAACGAACAGACAACAAGGAAGCGGCGTGCACGCGGAAAAGCGTAGAAAGAAAGCATCGGGACCGCGTGTGAATTCGCCTCTAAGGGGTAAGCCGCTCGTGAAGCCATTAGCCAAAAACAGGGAGGGGGGAGGGACACGGTATGAAACAATTAAGCCGGCATGAAAGTAAGTCCGCCCACGGTCGGAGCAATTAGGCGGAGTGCGAGAATCGACGTAAGTTTCCCGGGGGCCGCGGCGAACCTTGGCAAAGTTCGATGGGTCTGGTTCTTAGCTCCTGCTGCCTTTGGCAAGCCTCCATCTTCATGGCGCACAGGGACGGGTAGGTCCTTAGGTCGCTGCCGCAAACCGGTCGCATGTTTTCGGGGGAGATCGAGGCGCAGTCGAACTTGCAGCTACACCTCGGATAGTTGTCCGGGCCCAGCTCGCAGGTAGCCTCGAAGTCGCAGTTGATGTTCTTGCAGTCCTCGCGGCCCTGGGTGTTGGTCACGTCAACTGCAGTGGTGGCCAATCGGACCACAGCGGGCGTCGACATCGTTGCTGTTAGGGACACGGCCAACCGGAGGGATCGAGTTGTTAGTGTTGTTAGAGAGCGCGCGCAGGGCTTTGTCGGCTCGTTAACGGGACGGGTTTTTAAGGGGGTGCGGTTCCACGGTCGAACGCCGGGTGGACACCGGCCGTGGGATAGGAGGCTTTGCTTTCGCAGTTCTTTCGAGTTAGTGGCGCCTTTGTACCGTTAATAGCCAATTTATATCCGCCGCCTTTTGTTAATGCCTCGCTGCCTACGTAATTCTACACTTTTTGGCCGTTGGCGAACGATGGAATCGCCGGGGAACGATGTTTCGCGTAGGGGTGGCATCGAGTTGGCAAATTCTCCACGATTGACGCACGGATTGGGCAGAAAAATGGACAATTTGAGAAGCGAAGATCGTCGAAGTTATTGTATGTGTTAATAAATAGTAAATTTGATATTAATAGTAGTATTTAATATTAGTAGTAAATTTGATAGTATAAATTTATAATAGTACAAATTTAATAGTATAATAAATTTTATAGTATAAATTTAATAGTTTAATTCAATAGTACAAATTTAATAGTATAAATTTAATAGTTTAAATTTAATAGCATAGTAAATAATATAAAGTAAACTAATAAAATAGTATTAAAATAGTATATACTATAAAATAGTATTAAAATATAGCATATACTATAAAAAATACTATATACTATAAAATAGTATTAAAATAGTATAAACTATAAAATAGTATTAAAATAGTATATCTAAGTAGCATAAATTTAATAAAAATTAAGTAAATTTATAATTACAGATTCTCAACAACTATAAAAACAAGTCACAAGGCTCTCGAATAATGGTATCTCCACTTCCCAAATTGTCCATTTCAGCGTACAATCAGAGCATTAATTACTGAGAATTTCCTGTACTCATTAATTCGGGACAATTTTGCAAAATACCTGACACTGTCTCTAATTATCCAACTAGACTATCATAATTAAAACTTCAATAGAACATATTCACTTCAAGTCCAAATCGACCGAAGATCAGACTTAAATATCATAACGCACATTTTCGTAAGCCAATTCGATAATTGCACCGTAATTCCTCCATCGGAAACAACGTCGCGACCACCACCAAATTGTTACTTAATATTCCAAGAACGCAATCGAATTAGATTCAATAACAGCGTGTTCCGTTCGTGGTTCTTTTCTCTATGAAATTGCGATAGACCGGAGAAACGCCTGGCGGCGTGCGCGCGAAAGTTGAGCGGGAAAGTTTCGTGTTCGAGTTTATTGTAAGACAGTCGGAGAGATTTCGACGGCGGCGGGACGGGGGGTGGTTCTCGGTAAAACGTTGTAGAACGTACTCAATGCTGCCACAGCAAATCGGTCGCCGCAGTCGCCGTAAAATATCACGTGCAAGACCGGCAATTTCGGGTCCCTGCCGCAGGCCGCCTTCTGCAGCTCGCACTCCGAGGGGTAGTTCTTGGCGTCGCTGCCGCACACGGGCTTCTCCGTGATCTCCGGGCATTCTTCCGGGCACACGCACACCCCCGCCATGCAATGCGCCCCGTATTCGCACTCGACGCGGGTGCAGAGTTCTGAAAAGAATACGTTTTGTACCTTTTGTTACGGTCCTGCGATACGGTGTATGATTGTGTTAACCCGCCGTTTGATATCAGAATTTCTCTCTGTTGTTCAAATTCTGGCCCTGCTGCAAGAAAATATTCGGAGGCCTTTCAACAATGCAACGGTTTATTGAAAGCTGTACCAAATGACCTGAATTCTTTTTTATGTGTTACAAAGAACGTACGAAAATGTTGGAATTTATTAGCAACGTAGCTTCGAAAAAATGTCGCAGTGTAAGGGGTTCAACGAGCCATTGTCTTTTTTCGAAGTTCGCATGGAGTAAAAAGTGTGAAAAGTGTAAAAAACAATGTGGAAAAAGTGTAAGAAAATGTAAAGTAATGTGAAATTTATTGATATTGCCGCAAACTTATTTGTAACATCAAAACTTGTATAATTCGTTGAAATTTGGAGACGTTAATTTACGTTTAGAAAATTGTCAGGTTATTTAAAAAAGAATGTAGAAAAAACCGAAAATGTATCGACATTGCTGAAAAGTTATTTCCAACATTAAAATTTGTACCATTCGAGCGAAATTTGGAGACGTTGATTTGCGTTTAGAAAATCCTCAGATTATTTTTAAAAAATGTAGAAAAAAAAACCGAAAATGTATCGACATTGCTGAAAAGTTATTTCCAACATTAAAATTTGTACCATTCGAGCGAAATTTGGAGACGTTGATTTGCGTTTAGAAAATCCTCAGATTATTTTTAAAAAATGTAGAAAAAAAAACCGAAAATGTATCGACATTGCTGAAAAGTTATTTCCAACATTAAAATTTGTACCATTCGAGCGAAATTTGGAGACGTTGATTTGCGTTTAGAAAATCCTCAGATTATTTTTAAAAAATGTAGAAAAAAAAACCGAAAATGTATCGACATTGCTGAAAAGTTATTTCCAACATTAAAATTTGTACAATTCGAGCGAAATTTGGAGACGTTGATTTACGTTTAGAAAATCGTCTGGTTATTTAAAAAAAAATGTAAAAGAATCTAAAATGCCTTGACATTGCTGAAAACTGATTTCTAACATTAAAAATTTCTACAATTTTCGTAGGAATTTGGAGAGGTTAGTTCACGTTTAGAAAATCGTCGGGAAATAGCATCGCAGCTGTAAGGATCACTGAAAATCGTTGGAAGTAAGAATTCATAGAGGATACAGGGAAGAGAGGAGCTCGTGTATAGTTTATATACGTAGATGCATAGTTTAGATGACTTACCGCAATCTCCTATGTAGCTGACGGAGATCTGGGTCTGAGATTTACATGAAGCTACCTTCATTGAACATTCATTGGCGTAGGTTTTCCCGTCTGAGCCGCATACCTTCTCCGCTTCCGCCGGTTCTTTGCCCTGCAACAAAATAGAAACCGAGAAATTAATACCCGGAGGAACATTTCAACATTCCGTGGATTTTCCTTCGAATAAATATACGATCTGGATCTAGCAACTTGCTTAAACTTGCTTAAACTTTCGATCACTATGGGCGACTATATTCTTAAAATTACAGGTATTAGTACAGTTATTTAAAATTATTGTCTTGCAACGTCGTATGCGTTAAACGATCGCAAGAAAGATAGTAATTTAATGGCAAAAATAAGTTAAAATTTAAAATAATATATATAGATAATATCGGACAGGACGACTGGAAATAGTTGCGCGGTCGACGCGCAACCCCCGCGTAAAGCCACCCCCGCTTTAGAGAATTATTCGACGCGATGCGACGCTTTCTTTCCACTACAGCAAATTCTCCCTAATTAATAATAATAAAATAATCGCGTCTCCTCCTCCAAAATTATCCCTTCATGTGTACAATCAACTACAGAGAATTTACTATGTTTCGACGTAATAATCGTTCGCCTCGGTTTCACATCACCATCGTCGTCGCAGCATTTCTTTTTTCAAAAAATAAACTGCGCAATGTTTGCGCGCGATCGGTTCGAATATTTGCGAAAGAAAACAGAAGAAAAACGCGCGAACGTCACGCGTTTCGCACTTGTTGCGTCCGCGGCGCCGCGGCGCGCTGGACCGTCGTCCTGACGCAGGCCGCGGCGTCGCGACGCCGGAGGACGAGCCGGCCCCACCAAGAGCGAGAAAATAATACGGGGCGAAGAGCGAAACTTAATTAGCCCGCCGCGATATACGGCTCGGGTCTCCTTGTTTGCTTATTACACGCGTTTCACGCACGCGTTCCTCGCCGTTCCGCCCGGAGCGTTTCCGGAGCGTTTCCGCGCGAGTGTTTCGTTTCCGTGCAACGAGCAGCGGCCGCGCGCGACCCCGCGCGTTTCCCAATATTCCTGTAACGACGAGATCTCGTCGAATGTAATTGGAATTCGAGGCTGAGCTATTTGCGGCCTTGCTGTCTCCCGAATGGAAGATAACGGCTCTGCAACGGGCCAAAGTGCGCTTCGATCGGCTGCGTACAGGGCTGAGCAAAAGCAGTGGGCACTGTATGAATTATTTCGACTAGCAGCGATCAACCCTCAACTGCTTACGAAGCACATTTGTGCTATTTTTCTATAATTTTATTTCTGTTTTTATTTCTTCTATTATTTGATTTTTGTTACTATTTTCTTCTTCTGTAATTTTATTTAAGTTATTGTTTTCTTTTCTCTCAGTTTATTCCAGATATTATTTTCTCTACCATTTTGTCTGTGTCGAGGTTATGTCAACCATCATCTCATTTGTGTTATCATTTTCTCTGTTATTTTATTTATGTCATTATTTGTTCTATAATTTTATTTCTGCTATCATTTCTTTCATCATTCTATTTGCGCTAATATTTATTCCATAATTTTATTTAAGTTATTATCTTTTTCTGCCATTTTATTCAAGTCATTATTATTATTATTTATTCGTTATTTATTCTTCTAGCATCTCGTTTGTGTTGTCATTTTTCATTCGCTTTATTTTCTATTGATTTTTATTCACGTTACTATTTCTTCTATCATTTTATTCGCGTTATTATTTTTTTTACAGCGTTTTACTTACGTTACTATTCTCTGCTCCGCAATGTGCTCGATACACGAGCGTTACAACACGATTGTTCGAACGTTTTCTTTTCACAGAGTCGCTCGCTTTTCACGCGGAAAATTCGCGGCGTGCGAATATGTACCTTTTGCGCGGCGCTGTATATCGGACCCGTTGCGAAACGCTCGCGACGATCGAACGGACGAAAATGATTTGCTCGATTGAAACGACTTGTCGTTCGCGGGCTTGATCGGGAATCCATTATTTGCGAAGCATGTCGAAAGCTTCCGGCGTGTTTTGCCAGCCGCACACGAACAGATTCCGGCGACGCGATCTTCGTCGTCTAACGGCGCCGTGTTTGTCGTGTTAACTACTGTATATCAATGATGCATGCCTGTCGTACTGGATGTGCCAATTTGATACGTTTAGAACCGAACTACCCGCCGTTAGGCGAGCGTACAGTTTCGTTCGAATATTGTGCAAACGAAGCGAAACGGATTATTTCTCTTGTCGGCATGGCTCGCAAAATTCTGTTGGATGTTTCGTGTTTCGGAACGAGTTTTCACGTTGGTAAAAAATTGTCCGCATTTTAGACGTACGAAAACATATATATAGAAAAAGAAAACTATATAGATGGAAATAATATACTAATATAATACTAATATACTAATATACTAATATATACTAATATATACTAATATATTAATATTAGATATTATAATAGATATACTAATATACTAATATATAATAATATATATAATAATATACTAATATAGAAATTGTTATTCTTTACGTTGACGATTGTAGCAGATTAAAAACAATCTGGAATTCTATTTAAGTGCATATATATATTGTTATATATAATAATACAGATAATAGTAGTAATAATATCGACAGCAATAATTGTAATAATAATAGCAATAATATAGTTAGGAATAATAGTAATAATAGTAGTAATAGTATAGATAATAATAATAGTAATAATAACAGTGTAATAATACACAGATAATAATAGAAATTATTACACAAATAATAATAACGTAGATTACAGATTATTACACAAATAATAACGTAGATTACAGATTATTAAACAAATGATAATAACATAGATTACAGATTATTCCACAAACAACAATAACTTGCAAATCTAAGAATGTCATTAAAAGAAGAAAAATCGTACATTACCATCGTACAATTAATTACAATTTTATAATTATTACTTTATAATATAAATTAATAATTATTTTCAATGGATCCAATCGAATGTTCGACGGCAGCGAACAAAATGGCTGTTCGAGAATTAACGCAACAGCGATTTTGTCCATCGGTAATTACAATTTCGATTGTTCGAACAGTTGCTGCGTCGAAACGCGGCTGGTGCGTACAACGAATCGAAACGCTCAATTGTTCCGGCAAAATTGTTCCGATTGTCCGGCCGGTTTATTCAACAAACAAATCAAATTAAAAGATCTGCCGCGATCAGGGACGATAGAGGTTATGATACGGAGAGAACGGTTGTAGCAAGAAATCGAAGGGGAGCATTCGCCGTGAGTAATTTTAATTACTTTCTCTGTTGGGTCGCGCGCGTCTTTTCTCCTCCCCGTAATTCCGAAGACAATTACGCCGGGGTACGCGAGGGAGGGGGGGAGGAACTGTAAGGGCGGCTGGGACGCGCCGATATTCCTCGTTTGCAGTTCAAACAATGCCCCTAACCCCTCGCCTCCTTTCTCCGCGCCCCGATTCGGTACTTTTCGATCCTCTCTACCCGTCTTTGCTCAGAGGCCCTTTCTCGTCCCCGTTTCTTCGCCCCTCGCACCCCCGCCGTCCCGCAGCCGCGGAACGCTGACGCGTCAAATTCGCCGGAACATTGTGCGTCCATGCAAGAAAGATGTAATTTCGCGTTTAAGATGGGAACGCGAGCGACAACCGGCGATCTTATATACCGTGAATTACGCTGATGCATCGCAATCAGCCGGCAACATTTCCTCGTCGGCGCGACGACCTCGCCCGTTGTCGTCGCGCAAGGAACGGAACACGGTGGCGACGTCGATCCGGCTGCGCGAAGCGTAGAGATCTCTGTGGTCAGGCCGAAGTCACGGGTTAAATTGCGTTCCGCGGCGTTTCACGAGATGTCAAGGCGGTCCCTTGCAAACGAGGCGTAGAAATTGCCGGGTCCATTATATCTCGGCACCGGTCCATTAATACTCGGGGATGACGCACGGCGCGCGAAGTTCCGCCGTCGAGAATCACCGGAACTTTCGATCGGAACGAGAGAGGCGAACGATTATTTCGGGAACGTTTCTTGATCACGAGCGTTTCGCGGTTAAACTCGAAATATTCCGACGAGTTTACGATTTTTCCGATACCGTGTTTGACGGTTCGACCTCTTTTTAATAACTCTTTTTAATAACGCAGTCGGATCTTTTTTACGCATCGTTTCTCGTCGATGGAACTTTCAATTCCGAGGATATCGGTGTTATTTTCGTAGAAACAGAGATTCTTCGTTCAAAAAGTAACCGGAATTTCTTTAAAGATTGCACGAACGTGTTTCTGAGGTGATTTCAAGTAACTTTTTCCTTTGCGAAAATGCAATCCGAGGCTTCGTTTACGAGTTATCGGCGAAAAACAGTGACCAATGAGAGGCGAGCGCTGGAGCTGGAGCTCCTAGCGCTAGGCGGCCGTGCCAATCAGCGGAACTGGGCGTCGACCGTTCGCTGGCTTGGCCGCCTCGCGCTAGCCGAGGCTACCATCTCATTGGTCAGCGTTTTTCGTTGATAACTCGTGAACGAAGCCACGGATTGCATTTTCGCTGAGGAAAAAGTGCCTTCAAATTACCTCAGGAATACATTGAAAACTTGTTGGAAAAAGCGCATCGAAGCAGATGAGAGATATTTTGACCGAATAAAGCTCTTCGAAAAGAGGACAAGACGTATCAAATTGTTTTCTCAAAAATTAAACGAAATAAAAGAGCAAGAAAAAGGTCCAACATCGATTCGATAAATATAAAATAAAAATCAATCAATATAAAATTAAAACTACAAACGATATAATTTATATTACATACAATTTACACAATATAACGCAATATAATCCATATTACATATAAAATTAAATCTAAAATAAATACTTAAAATTAAAGAAAGAAAGTTAAAATTAAAAATAAATAAAATAAAAAAATCCCAAGTTGGTTGCACCGGTCCAACGATAAAAATTCGATTCCAGTATCTTCCTCAGACTTTTTCGGATCGGAATTTCGGTTGCGAACGCAGTCTGAACACGACCGGCCCTTCCGTCAGCCTGACCAAGCAATTCCGCGGGATCTGGTTGCGCGGCGGCAAGATGGCGGCGCTCGGAATGGCGAAAGGGTTAATACCGTTAAGGGGTTGGTGGGTCGGTTGCGAGCGGTAGCCGTCGTCGTGAACGGGCGCAGCACAGCGTAGTCGAACAAGCGGGAAGGACCGTCCCTTAATGTCAGTCTCCCCGGAGCTTCACGGGGGACGATAGCACGTGCTGCCGCGGACGGTCGTTCCGGTTGATGGTTCCGCGTCGGCCTGTCCCATAACCGTCCTGTAACGTCCCCGTCGCCGTTGAATTTTGGATAGCTCGGAGGGCCGTCGCCTTAGCCACGTCCGACCACTTTTCCGTCCCCCCTCCCCCTCTTAGAAAAAGGAGCATGCACCGGGGAGGGGGGTGGGGGACGGCAGTTTACCCGAACGACCAGCAACGCGGCGACAGCGACAGCGACGGGTGCGACGTCGTCGACGTCTACGTCGACGTCGACGTAGACGGCGGAAGGCGTCGAGGGCCGGGAATTGTTCGTGGTTTTGTCAGCAGGACGTTCCACGAATCCGTGAATTTCTGAAGCGGCGCGTGTCCCAGCCGGACTTCGACGAACTCTCGCCGGATAACGATATCTCCGGGAGGGCCCTGACGTGCTCTCCATTCCCAACGAATATTTGTGCTCGGGGAAATTTTATTCCAACGGACCCGCCGGAACCGTCGCGGATTACACGCGATAAGACCCTCTCCCTCCTCGCTCCGCGCGACTCCTTTTCCTTTTTTCCTTCCTGCTCTCTTTCTCTTATTTTCCTTCCTTTAACTTCCCTACCGAGGAAGCTACTACGGAATTTCCAGGCACCCCTGGGACTCGTCCGGAGGGGCGGTAGTTCCCGTACAACGCCCTCTCTAATCTCCCCGGCTGAACGATGAGCCGCTATCTCGATTTTTAATGTTTTCCTTTCGACGATTGGGGAAACGGGTTTCTTCGCGGACCACGGGTCAAGTAAATATCGTTTTGTGCAAGGGGTGCTTTAGTATTGATGATAGGGGAGAACCGTCGTGAATATTTTCGCGTTCGGTGTTCTACCGTTTCGTATTTTTCCGTAGAAATAAGTGTAAAGAATATGAGAAAGTAACGCGAAATGATGTTGATAAAGGAATTTATAATAATGATCGATTTATTAATATTAATATTAATATTGTAATAATACTGCAATAATATAATGATATAATAATATTAATATAATAATATTATAATAATATTACAATCATATAATAATATTAATATAATATTGATAAATATTAGTATTATATATAATAATATTATAATAATATTAACATACTATTAATAAATATTAGTATTATAATCGCACCACTTTGATTCAATGAAACAGGATAATATTAATATAATAATAATATTATAATAATATAATATATAATAATATTATAATGATATAATAATATTATAATGATATAATAATATTAATATAGCAATAATATTATAATAATATTAATATAATATTGCGATAAAAGAGTACGAAGAATGAAAGCTATCTTCCGCATTATCGAGCTTCGAAAAAGCATCGAAAACTATACAAAAAGGAAGCACGATCTTTCACAGAAGATAATTCGCTTTCTTTTCAAATCTATCCGATGTCCGATAAATCGTTTCCCATTTATCAGCGAGCGTACATTGGTATAAATTTACAGTGGCATCAATCAAAAAGGAAAAAAACGTTAAATAATGACCGTTAATTACGCTATAACGTCGAGCTCGGTGTAATCTATGACCACTCCTTTTACTTAATCATTCTGATAACACCGATATACATACGTGCGCTACGGTGTATACAGGGTGTATTAAAAAAAAATTACAGCAGAATTGCGTTACGAACACAATAGAATGTGCTTAAAAGTGCTCAACGAAAACGTAACTTGTTGTAAGACCGAGTGTGCTCGAGGGAATTGATTTTGATAACTACTCCGATGCGCTTATCGATTCCTGCGAGCAAGTAGAAAATCCCACCGATGGTCAGACCAGACGGTCTTATCTCTATTTACGCTCTGCTCTTTCAATTCAATGTTCGTCGAAAGCACGCGTTTGTTCGAGAATTTAATAGATAAATATTATAGTGAAATTATTATATCGTAGTGAAATATTATTATATATTAGTAAAATATAGTAATAGTTACAGTAAAATATTAATGTATATTAGTAAAATATAATAATAATTACAGTAAAATATTATGGTTTAATATATAATAATAATTATAGTGAAATATTATGGTTTAATATTATTAGTATATAATTATAATTACAGTAAAATATTGTGGTTTAATATTATTAATATATAATAACAATTACAGTAAAATATTATGGTTTAATATTATTAGTATATAATTATAATTACTGTAAAATATTATAGTTTAATATTATTAATATATAATAATAATTGCAGTAAAATATTATGGTTTAATATTATTAATATAGTATAGTCACTAATATAATTGTAATTAAATAGAAAAGTAACAGTAAAATATCATCTTGCTTTAACTGAAAACAAATAAATCACGAGAGTCGTATGAATTAAAAATTCAGTATTAAAATTACAGGATTAAAAATTTCAGTATTAAAATCAGGACTCGCACGAACGAACAAAGTTCAGCTCCGATCCCACCTAGATTCGTTTCAGCGCCTTCGTTTCGGTCGTAACCCGTGATTTCGGGTACACCGTGTATACGAACAGGGCGACAGCTCATCCATCATCGTATGAATATTTTACTTTAGTTTAGCTAACGACGACGGAGGGTTAACGCAAAGATTGGGTGCGAGAACGTGTAGACTGATATCTTTCATGATTCATTATGTTTCGCGTTCCTAATTTCCCTCTTACACACTTCCCAACGGATCGGTTATTCTTCGAACAAGTATATCTTTCTGCTGGTACGGTCAATTCTCCTCATCTTCGGTCATTATAAGTCTTCTTATTACAAGTATTCGGTTATTATAAAAACCGCAATGCGCGACTTGTAATTCTTGTAAAGATGTTCCGCGTTCGGAGCATCTTTATCACGATCAGCTATCTTCTCTTGCCGATGATACGTTCGCTTCGATCGGCACATATTAGCTTAATTGCTTCTCAGTTCTATTCCGGGATTAATTCGACGAGAGTAATCGCGAGTCGGCGCAAAAATTAAGCCGATTTCACAGCTGAACAGCTTCGCGATCAAAGGTTTATTCTTATAATGCGATCGGTTAGCTATCATCAGTCCCGCGGGAAATCATTTTTCTTCTTTACAGGCACAGATATCGAAGTATAATATACATATACTTCGCATAACTGTGCATAACTATACTAAGTGTACTTAGTAATAGTACTGTACTTAGTAATGTAATTACGTAGATGAATATGTTTAAGATGAGATATATTTTCGTGCGTGACTGACTCCCCTCCCTCCCCAAAAAGGTATATTTGCCATGATCTTTATTATATGAGAAGTTAAAAATGTTTATAATCTATTTAGGATAAAAATGTTCACTTACCGAACTCTCGCACTTGCTGGGACAGACGCATTTCGCTTCCCCAGCACTGTCGGTCTCGCACTTGGCATAGTAGTCGCACTTCTTGTTCTCGCATTCATCTGGGAACAAAGAAGGGAACGATTAGGCGAATCGACGAGAATACCGGAGGCCGTAATTTCTGCGTAATTCGCGCACAGATTGCGTGGAAATATGGTTGACGATGAAAAATTAATGACAATCGGTATTTATAAATTTAATATAAATTTACTATGATTTTATTAAATTTACGCTATTAAATTTACTGTATATTTATTAAATGTATTATACTCTGAAATTTATACTATTAAATTTATTATACTTTGAAATTTATACTATTAAATTTACTACACTATGAAATATATACTACTAAATTTACTATACTATGAAATTTATGCTATTAAATTTACTGAACTATGATATTTATACTATTAAATTTATTATATTTTGAAATTTACAGTATTAAATTTACTATACTATGAAATTGATATTATTAAATTTACTATACTATGAAATTGATACTATTAAATTTATTATACTTTGAAACTTATAGCATTACATTTACTATACTATTAAATTTACTATTGACAATGTATTTATAAATATATATATATATATATATATATATATATATATATANAAGTTATATCTTCTTAAGAGGTGTCACTTTTGCTCCTTACTGTAACTAAATAATTTAATTTTCAATAATAATTCCAACAGAGTCATCGTTGCTATGAAACAATGTACAGTGAATTCTCTCCAATAGTCCCTCAGCTTGTAAACATAAATGGACAGTTTGGGAAGAGGAGATACGATTATGAGAACTTTACGCTCCACTTTTATAATTGTTGACAATTGGTAACTATAAAAACCAGTCGCGAGCCTCGAATAAACGTATCTCCTGTTCCCAAATTGTCCATTTCTGTGCGCAATCTGGACGCGAATTAGGGAGAATTTACTGTAATCGGATCGCAGTCGCGGGCTGCGGACGATTCGCAGCCCGTGTACGAGCGTTTCACAGCGCCTCGGCTGCAGTTTCGCCGAAACGGGACAATCTATCTCCCGGTAATTGGCCGCGAGGGCAAAAAGGCTGGCTGGGTCCGGTCATTCGTCATCCGAGAGTCGGACTCGGTCCGGATCCGTAGATGCCCGCGCGCGATATACCTCCCTCGGCACACCCCTCGCCGGCTAACCCTCGCCTTGCTGAATTGTTTCGGTCGGCGCGGGCTTCTTCCGGTTCCGTGATCCGGGGCATCGACGCTCTACCACAAAAGCGTTGCAACCCTGTTGCAACCGGCAGGCCTGTGCCGCCACCGTCGACGCCGACGTCGACGCCGCGTTGTCGGCCCCTGGCCGACGTTCAAACCGGTATTAATAAAGATTCCCGCGCAAGCCCGGTCGGGCCGCGCTATTTGCATAACTGCATCCGTTTCGAGGGAAATTATCTGGCTGGTTGGGTGCCGGCTGGGTGGCGGCGGTTAAATCCGGCAACAATGCGGGGTCGGGGGCATGCTGGGGGACGCACAGTTTGAGACAGCGAGGTAGGGACGGAGACAGAAAGATAGTTAGGTACAGAGAGAGAGAGAGAGAGAGAGAGANAGGGGAGAGAGAGAGGGAGAGAGAGAGAGAGAGAGAGAGAGAGAGAGAGAGAGAGAGAGAGAGAGAGAGTGACAGAGGGAAAAGGAGAGAAACAAAAGGGGGGAGAGAGAGCGAGAAAGAGGGAACAATTGACAGAGAGACAGAGAATGAAAACCGGCGAAAGAAGCGTGAATGTTATATATATATGCATTATTGTAAATTATAATCATATTTATTACTGTGATGATATTTATTATCATGAATTGCTGTCATTAGACAGCGGATTTTATGCATTTATGACAGAAAAAATGAGTAAATCGATGTCGAGAGGGTAAACATATTTATTTAGAGAATTTGCAAGCATTATTGTATTATTTGCATCGATTGAAAATATTAGGGACAGGAATAAGTATGACTGTTGCTCTTGTGTTCTGCAATTGATGCAGACAATTTTCGTTTCGCATAAAAATCCGCGGTCCAGTAAGAAGAAATATAGCGCAAGAAAGAGAAAAATAGAGCAAAAAGAGAAAACTAGAGAGGGAGAAAGAGAAAAATAGAGCAAAAAAGGGAAGACTAGAGGGAAGGGAGGGAAAAATAGAGCAGAGATAGAAAACTAGATAGGGGGGGAGAATAATAGAGCAAGAAAGAAAAAATTAGAGTAAAAAGAGAAAATTGGGAATAGAGAGAGAGAGAGAGAGAGAGAGAGAGAGAGAGAGAGAGAGAGAAATAGCGTAAGAAAGAGAAAATTAGAGAGAGAGAAAAACATTGAGCAAGAAAGAGGAAAATAGAGCAGAAAAGAGAAAACTAGAGAGTGAGAATAATAGAGCAAGAAAGAGCAAGAAGAAGCAAACTAGACAGAAAGAGAGAGCAAAAGAGCACAATAGAGCTAGAGAGTAGGATCGAAGCAGGATCTACAGCGAAGAAGTTGTCGTTAGAATTCATCGAGTCCCGGGAGAAAAAGGGCGTTAGCTTATTTGCTCTGCCCCAACCCTAAACGACGTGTCGATGATGCTACTAGGGCTGGAGGGTAACAAGCCTCCGCAGCCGAGGATCGAAGACCTCCTGCGAGGCGGAGGGAGCCGAGAGGGGTGGGTTGCCTTCTAGGTTGCTGTGCTCGCGACAAGAGAATCCCGGTGCCTTGCGATCGACGCACACCGAGCCGAGGCAAGCCGAGTCCTAGGCTCTCCGTGTGGCCGCCTGGATCGTCGAGGAGCTGCCGGGATGCAGCTGCATGCATATGCAACGTGCATGCCGCGGGGTAACAACTCATACAATTTCACGGAGCAGAGAAGTCGGCTCGCCCCGCGGTATGCATGGAACCGAATCCCGGCATGGCAGTACGTTTCAGAAGTTTCACGCGATTTTCAAGCATGCAAATTATATCTCGAGGCCTAGGCGACTATTCTAGACCTAATCTTGACTTCTTTGCTAAGATCTTCCGCGAGATATACGGGCCGCTTCTTCGGATCCGCGCGCTGGATTTCGTTTCGGAAGACAGATCGTGCTTCTCGACATTTTCTTTGCGGATCGCGATAGTGTTTTACAGCTTTTAAACACGAAATTGATCGTTTTGTTGATCTCGATCATGGTTTTACAAATCGCAAGTTCTATTCCTCGTTCTCAATTTTTTAAATTGATATGAATTTATATATGTACCGGAATTTCTCCCAGAAATGTTCGGAGATCGGAATTGAAAAAAGGCTAAAATAAGAACGATGACTTAAATTTCTTATTTCTAATTTTTTGACACGATTCGAAGGCAATTCAGCAGATCTCACGCACGATTCATACCCAAATAGACCATTTTGTGTCGTCTTTTGTCGAACCTTAGCATCGTCGTGGCAGTAAATCACATAGGCGCACGACTAGCACAGGGAAATTCGCAGCAACCCGAAATTTGGCATTTCAGGGAGAAATTACTGTACTGTGAAATTATATTGATTTGTTCGTCGATCTTCAATGTTTATTCACAAGATATCATTCTATTTTACGAATCCCAAGCGAATCTCGTTGCAAATAATTTGAGTAGCTTTGTCGAAGCGACGTCGTTTCTAATTTTCTTTCGGAACGGCTTGGAAGCACAGCGACACGACGCGACGGCGTAAAAGTGCTAAACGGCGCTACTAAACAATCACGGCAACGCAACAAGCCATTAACGAGTTTCCAAGGATTCGGGAAACTTCGTAAGTCCTTCCGTGCTCTAGATTGCGAACTTTTTGACATTGTTTAATTGGCAATCGAACGATCCGACGCAATTTAATGCTAATAAACCTCTTTACAATAGTTGCCTCGTTACTTCGGCAAAGAATTATGCGTCATAAAAATGCAAATCGATCCCGGCAACAAATTCTCAAGACACAAAGTTCCGTCATCGATCACCATGCAAATACGATTACGGTGTCAAAGGATTCCCGTTCGTTCCATGCAAATTGTTCACGGTGGACCGGTCGCGAATAAAAATCGCGCCACCGTCGCGTCTCCGACGAATTTTTTGTTCATTCTCTTAACGCTAAAATCGAACCGGTTGTATCTACGTCGGACGTAATGGGCTCGTTCGACCATAAATTGATCATCCTTTCGGTTCATCCTTTTTTGCCTGTCTCGACCGGTTAACAAAGTTTCCTTAATTATTTACACAGGCCGCTCTACATTCGCTCAATCGATGCGCAATCAACAAGCTCCAGCGGAGAAATTCCGAAATTCCGAATTTCCCGAGATGGAAGTCGAACGAAAACTATACGGAAAATGAAATGTTAGTAATTCAATTGTGTTATCGGTTGTTAGACGATGCCTTTTGATTTACCGAAATTACTATTAATTACTATTAAATTACTATTAAGTTACTATTAAATTACTAATAATTACTATTAAGTTACTATTAATTAATTTACTATTAATTACTATTAAATTACTATTGATTACTATTAAATTACTATTAATCTCTACTAAATTACTATTAAATTACTATTAATTACTATTAAATTACTATTAAATTTATAAACATAGATCGTCGTTCAAAATTGCACCGTCCATTTCCTATAAAAATTTCTAAAAGTATAGTTCAAATTCTTCTTCTCCTCCCATTTTAATTAATTTAATCAACGTCGCATCCGCTTGATAGCGATTAACCACCAAGCTAGAATTACCCTCTAAAATTAACGAGATCCCTTTCGTCAAGATACTGCATGATTTCGATTGAAGTTATTAATCGTGGGAACGAAGAAACCGAAATCCAGCGTCGAGGCAGTAATTTTTCTTTCGAATCATCGAAAAGGCGTCCGCGAAGATCCACGATGCACGAACGCGTGGAAATAATTTGCGTTGGAAATGAACAATGTCGTGTGTCAGATGGCAGCCAGCAGTCGCGAGAGAGCCAGCCCCGGCCGCGCCGCATCGCGCCGCGTCGAGTTTGTGCGTTTGTTTCGTGTCACGGCGGCGGGCGGCTGTCGCTTATTCGTGACCGATTTCCACGAGGCTGAAACGCCGCCGAAGAAAGAACGTGAGAACCGGGCAACTGCGGACTACTCGGAAAACTGGGCCTCGCGTTTCTCGCGTGTCGCCGAGCTCGCGCGTACGGATGGGCTCCATATTCAATGACTGAAAGTCGAAAGGGTTGACTTCGGTTGACTCTGCTAAGTACCTATCAACTTATTCAACGAATCCTCTCGGATTTCGCCGGGCGAGACCGGGGAAACATTTTCACTGGAAACAAACCGGTTAATAGCTCGCGGTCTTCGCCGGATGAAACAGCCGCCGAGACGACACGGCACGAATATTTACTGAACGAAAAATCGAATTATTTTGTGGACAAAATCTCGGTTATTATTGCAATTATCGAGGATAATTATTATTACAGTAATTATAGATAATGCAGTTTTAATGGTTTTATTATTTCCAGGTTGGCGAACTTTTTGTTAGGCGAAGAGGAAGAGGAGTTATTCTTTTTTATAATAGTGTAATATATAATAATATTTTTTTATTAATAGATTAAGGATCTTTGAGCAAGATACAAATTTTCTGCTTCTGTTTTTAGTGACTCATAAATAATCTATGTAATGCCTTTAAAAATGTTTTCTATTTAAATTGTATATTATATATTATTATAATAATATAATACTATAATAATATATAATAATAATTATATATTATTATAATAGTTATAATAAAATCATCGAATAAAAAAAGACGTTTAAATTTTAAATTCATTTTTCACATAAATGAATTAAATCCGCAGTCCACTTATTAATATTTATTATTCAATGCAAGCATATCAATTGACAATAAATTTTCTTCCAGCCAGCGAATGATTAGAAAAACAGCACAGAGGGATCTAATAATTTTACAACCCTCGATTCAACGATATTATCGCTAATAACAATAAATCGACAGCTTCCAATCGCATTAGATTTATGAAAAATGCTCGCGATACTATGTTACAAGATTCAAAGAAGTTAAATATATTATTATTTTATTGTTAGTTATATTATTATATCATTATAGTCAGTATAGTCATATTACAAGAAGTTTAAATTATAGTTTAAAATTTTGAAAGTTTAAATTGTTAGTCATATTATTACATTATTATAGTCGGTATAGTTACATTACAAGAAGTTTAAATTCATACCGCGCGCATAATTTCAGAGCCCCCCGTTCGATTTTCATTTCCTCCCTTAAACATACCCCGTATATATGTATTTACTCGGAATAGAATCCGCTGGAAAAATCACGTTCGCGCGATCACGAGATCATAGCGGAAAATCGGCCGGTAACGTATAAAGTATAAATGGTAAGACCACCTTAAGCAGAGTTTTATTTTCGAGGTTTCGAGTGACCCAGTTCCCGCCCTCCGTAGGTCCGGAGCCGGGTCTGAAAAACTCCCTCTCTCTCTTCTTCGAGATTGCCCGACGTGCTTGGTCGGGGCGCGCGAGCGCCGATATAAAATTCGAGGTTAAATTGTATAAAGAAGGATACACGCGGGCACGAAGAGAGGACACGTGGAGGTGGAGGGGGTGTGGCGGCCTTCCTCGATATAAAACAAAGCAAACGCAGGAACTAAGAGAATCGCTAGGGGCAAGCGGAATCAAAAGCAGCTCGGTAATCTCGGCGGCTGCGATGCCCGCCGACTTATTTCGATTCGATTTTCAATGAAGCCATTTTTCCATTTCTGGCGCCCCGGAACAATGGTGTTTCGTAGGGAATTTATGATTTGTAACAAGACGTCGAACGCGGCGGGGTACAAAGAGAGAGAGAGAGAGAGAGAGAGAGAGAGAGAGAGAGAGAACGGGAAGCGCCGCGAAAATACATATTTGTCCCGCGGGAACGTGCGGTGTCTTCTCTACGGATACATTTTTATTTCAATGAAGAGAACAAAGATTTACGAGACATGAACGGCCGGGAATTGATTCATGGCGCCTCGCGCGATTCAATTGGTTTAGTAAATACAGGAACGCGAGCGCGCGCGCACCGTCCCACGGAAATACGCGCAGTGTTCCTTCGAAGTGTGTTCGATTGGCTGCGAAATGATTTTTCGAAATATTTCGTACAAATATTTGTTTCGAAAGGATTATTATTATTATTATTATTATTATTATTATTATTATTATTATTATTATTATTATTATTATTATTATTATTATTATTATTATTATTATTATTATTATTATTATTATTATTATTATTATTATTATTATTATTATCATCATCATCATCATTATTATTATTGAAAGTGTTATGTTGCAATTAACGACTCTTCTCGTATTAATTGTAACATTTACGATACATGGAACGAAATGGTATCCCATAATTGAATGGCGATTTTGAATAAGGGTATATGCTACATTTTTGTTGAAATTCAGTCATTAGCTAGGGTGCTGTAACGAAAATTAAATATTCCTACAGCAGTGAGTACAGTGAATTCTCTCTAATTGATCCTCACAGATTGCATACAAAAATGGAGAATTTGGGGAAAGAATTCTACACTACTGTATGTAGAATATTAATTCTACATTAATTACTTATCGACAAGAATTATATTTTATTCTTATGGCAATCTTAATTGAAAGAACAAATTGTAATAATTTTATTAATTGAGTTACATGAAATCAAACTAAAGAATCAGATAATCAAATACAACATTAAATAGTCAATTTAAAATAATTATTATAATACTTTTTGCATTAGATGTCTGTAAATTGAAAGAAATAGTAAACCAATATGTAATAGTTAATCATGCACTTCTAATGATAATATTCTTTCGTCCCCTAAATAAGTCCAATAAATAATCGTGACATAACCTCAACACTAAATCATCAATTTAATATAATTATTACAGTACTCTTTTCATTAGATGCCTGTAAATTGAAAGAAATGGTCTCTTAAACCAATATACAATAATTAATCACCCACTTATATATATATAATAACAATACTCTTTTATCCCACAAACAAGTCCCATAAATTGATTAATCTCACATTTATCTATACTAATTATTGTATATTTCATAATTATGCATACCAGTCGGAAACTTGTACAACGGAAAAAATTAACAACACCGACGTCGTCGATTTGACGACGAGTTAAACCGCGTCGTCGTCGAACGTTACAAATGGGCCCGTAACGCGGGCCCTTAATCCCGTGCCCCGGGAACGATAATTCAAGGGAATCGGAGGTCTCGATGGGGGAACGTTACTCACTGCAGAGTCCTTGGTAAAGCACGTGGATCTCCCGACGATGTTGACAAGCCTCGAGGCGCAGCTTGCATTCGTTCCCGTAGCTGATGCCGTCGTCGCCGCAGACAGGTTGAAACTCCGCCGGACAGGTCGGACACTCGCAGATCGCGGTGCTGCCGGTCTCCGCGCAAATGGCGCCCCACTGGCAAATCTGCGGAGAAAACACCCTCTCTCACTTCGGCTTTCCTTTATCCCCGAGATTGTCGGGTCGGGAGAATCTCGGAGAACCGCGCGACGACGTTCCGTTTTCGTCAGTTTGCCGCGACGCTATTTCGACGCGCGTTCGCGAAGAAACAAGCCAGATGCGGTCTCGAAGGAGTGGGGATGCACAGCGCGCGCGAACGGAACGCTGGGAAAATTTCAGAATACTCGGAATATCTCGGAAACTGCGAAAGATAGCGAAGCGGTGTTTGAAGAAAAGTTGTTTGGTATGGAAGAGAGCGTCGCGTGATGCGAACAGTTTTCTTGTTGGCGACAAAATGGCGGAGATTTCGCGGTCACGTTGGATTTCTTTCCGAATGAAATGCTGTGATTTTGTGTGCGCTCTGTTACGGTGCAATTAATATATGCAAAATATATTATATATATATATATATATAATATATAATATATTATATTGTATTTATAATATATAAAATTATAATATTATATAAATATATATTATAATATAATATAATATATTTATAATATAATAAAATGTAATAAAATAAAATAATAAAATGTAATAAAGTAGAATAATAAAATGTAATAAAATAAAATAATAAAATGTAATAAAGTAGAATAATAAAATGTAATAAAATAAAATAATAAAATGTAATAAAGTAGAATAATAAAATGTAATAAAATAAAATAATGAAACGTAATAAAATAAAACAATAAAATATAATATAATAAAATACATAAAATTACAAATAAATGTAACTATATTTTAGGTCTCCAGTGTGAACGGTGTCCCCGACGAGCCGAAATTTTCGCGAAACGTGAACAACGCGGCAAAAATGTCAACAGCGGGAACGCCTTCGCACGTAACAGCCGCCGAAGACAAAAGTCGGATTAATCGCGGCCAGTCGGACGGTTATCTCGGAATTTCACCTTCCGGCGGCCGCGGTCTCCGGCGTCGCCAGCTGAAACGGATATATATATTCCGGGGCCCACCCTCTTCGCGCTCGTTCCCCGCAAAGCCGATAATCTATCGCGAGCAATACTTTCCAGGCCGCGCGCAATTTACGCGCGGCACTTTAATTCTCAGAATTGAATGTACACTCGGCCCCTCGCGGTCCCGCCGCGTTTTCATTGGCCGCCGACGAATCTGCGCGTTTTTCACGGGGCCATATTACGGCCGCGGTGTCCGTGCCGCGATTAAGCACCCTTATCGCCCGAGAAGGATGGGGATTATGGCCGGGCCGATGTACAAAGTAGAAACGGGACGCGCGCGGACACGATTAAATTCTAGTCTTCGCGGGCGAACTGCCTGCGTGTTGGTCGCAATCACAGCGGCGTAGGTCGCGTTTTCTTCATTTTGGGAAATCAAGAATATTGTTGTTCATTGTTATGTGTATTGTTCACACACACACACACACATTGTGTGAACTTATTTATATTATTTAAATATAATTTAGAGTTCGGTTGATCCATAGTAACTTCACAATTTCTTTCACTGGTCTTTTTTTTTAAGAAAAATGGGGTCTTTTTCACCCCGGAAAGGGGTGATTTCTGACTTTTTTCCACTTGACACGAATCTACTTGTTTTTCTTTGATACATATGAAATTGATCGCTCATAGAAAACTTCTCTATTATTCGGCAATTTATCGAATACAGACAAATTTAATTAAATTGATTAATAATGTGAAAATTCTTTTAAAATAGCATAGCAATTTTTGGCGTCGCCTCGGAGTCGCCACTCGAGCGCAAAGGGTTAAAATACATAGATTATGTTGTTTCAACAATCGCACGTAACTTTCGACGGTGCCTCAGGATCACCGCTCGGCTGCAAAATGTTAACCCTTTGCACTCGAGTGGTGACTCTGTCTCTCTAAAATAATTTTTACATTTTCAAAGTTCAGATTAAAAAGATCGTTAAGAGCGTTACCGTTGTGTGCGAGCCACAAGACTCAATTTCATATGCATAAAACGCACTTTCACATGTAAAATAAAAATACCATAATTCAGAGAAATTATTTTCGATTTACAGTTGAAATAGCTTCGAGCGCAATGGGTTAAGGGATAGAAATAACGAACAGACCTTCTCGGAGCAGGGTCCCCTAGACCCGCAGGTTCCAGTGTAGGCGACCTCGATGCTGGTCTTCGTCAAGCAGGCCTGCCTCTTCAGCTCGCAGAGGGACGTGTACGTTTTGCCACCCCTCGCGCAGACCGGTCTCATCACCGGCTCGCATTCCGGGCCGCACTCGCAGCTCGCGATCCCTTGCCGGTTAATCACGCACTGCTCGTACGGGCTGCACTTCGCCTCGTCGCACGGATTGATTCCTGCACAATGCCGCGGATTAAAAGTCACCGACCGAGCCGCTTCGCGCGCGGCCGTGCCGAAGGTTCCGTTTTCCCCGATCGCGGAACAGTGGACAACGATGGGCGCCGGTCGTTCCCGGGGAAACTTTCGACGGCTGGGATCGAATGTAAAGAAGTGGATCGATCCCCGGGACGGGATTTCGCGCGAGATCCTCTCCGAAAACTTTCCTCGTCGAATTGCCACGCGAATCTCGCACGGCGCGCCGGCGAACTTCGCGCGAACGGAGATCGGAAACTTCGGCAAATAACGCGCCTCGCGCCTCCGTTCCACGGCGCACGCGGCTCCGGATTATGGAATTTGGGATCTGGCCGATTAATTCGTTTCTTTAGCGTGGAATGTGCATGATGGACCGATGAGAATTCCGACTTCCAGCGGAGTAGGCTCTCGAGATAATCGTTCAGGTCGCGATGTTACCTTCGGATTTTCGTTTTCTTACGGCGATTTTCTGTTCGCTTTGAGTTCGATATTGACGTCTTGTAGTCAAGTTGATGTACAATAGACACGATAAATATGTATATTTCTTTTTCTTCTGAGGGATGATTACGATCGAATGCTGCTACTCGCTTTAATCGCGAAGAAAATGGCACGGAAAGGGGTTAAGGTCGAATTACTTTTCCGAAATTGAACCGAACGTTTTGCGTTTCGTTGAGACGTAGGACTAATTTGTTAATTTGCTAATTTTGCTAGGCAACGCGTCTGCAAACGTCCTTTCGAAATTGCAGTTAAATAGAATGCCGAGCAAAATAAGAAACTCGCCGAATATTAACGAGAAAAATTCAATAAAATTCAATGACAAAGTGAGAATTTACCACAAGAAATATTGGTTCAGCTGTTTTGTTTTTTTACAAGCCCTGGTAACATTCAGTTTGTTCAATATATTTCGATAAAAATGAATTTCGAAAACCTAGTTAAAAATTAGCGTCACCCATGCGTGAATCACGCGGCATCGAATTGTATTAAGTCGAAGTAAGTCTGCAAAGGTCCCTTAAAAAATGAAGCGAGAACGAAGCGAACGATGCAATGAATGAAACTGTTACATGTAAAGTAGCTGGCAAAAATTCGAAGCTACACAATTATCCAAAGCACAATAAATTCTCCCCAATTTTTCTTCAGTTTGTAAACAAAAGTGGACAATTTAGGAAGAGAAGATGCGATTATTCGAGCCTCGCGATTCATTTTTATAATTACCGGTCCCCGATTGCCGATAACTATAAAAACGAGGCGCATAATCGAGTCTCCCCTTCCAAAATTAATCATTTCTATCCAAAAATTGAAGAACAATTAGGAAGAACTTACTGCAAAATGAGTTCCAAATTAAAGTAGTTATCGCTCGCCAAATTTTTCCAAGATCATTTCAGTCATCTTCTTGTTCGAGCGCTTCTTCCAATGAACTTTCCTAACAAATACATCCTCTCTATTATCGACAGATCTCTCTGTGATCGACAGATTCACGGGTAATCGATTCGCGCGAAAGAATCGACGATTATAACGACCGGCATGTAAAATGTAAACGAGACATTGGAAGCGTTTGCGGTCGGTTTACCGGATTTCTCGGGCAGAATTTCGATTACCTGAGTCGCAGGCGCCGTTGTACACCTTCCTGAGCGACAATCTGGATCTGCAGGCCTCCTGCTTGAGGCTACACTCGTTCGAGTATGTTTTACCATCGCTTCCACAAACCGGCGAGAACTCGAGGCCGCACTGCTCGCCGCAACGACAGGCCGGCTGCCTCGAGTCGTCCAGCTGACAGATTTCCGGTTCTACGCACTCCACGTTTCTGCAGGGATCTGGAAAATGAAATTGCGGTACGCGCGGCTTGAAATAACGTTGAACAACAAAACTCGGATGATGCATTGTGTACCAACGGAACGCGTATCGGGGGCCCGGTTGTAAATATTTTAAATGTTTGGTCAACGAATGCTCCGTCACTGTCCTCCCGTCCCTGCACGTCTCCGGCACGGTGATATTTATTTTATGAAATACACCGCAGACGAAATAATAGACGTCCGGGGGGTTTGAACAAAAAAAAAGAAGGAAAAAAAAACTACAAACAACAAAATATCGGCGTTGTAATAATAGAAGCGATACGACGAACAAACCGCCGTAAAATAAACGAAATGGATTACGGAATTGATACGATTGAGTGTGCGCGATGTAATACTGTTGTTGTTGTTGTTTTTTTTTCGATTGTAACTTGTTTCGTGTCGTTAAAAAGTCGTCGTGGCGTCGCGGCTCCGTTCAGCCGAAAACGGTGCTCGAACATTTCGATGTATAATATTGAACGTTTCGTTCAACCAATGCGTGTACATTTAATTAGAGACCTCGAGGAGCATCGAAGAATTTGTTGAAATTTTTTTGGCGAATTCTTTTTAATGCTGGATACGATATTCCTCGAACACTTATTTATATTAAACTATTTTATCGAGATTTCAGTATTATTACAGTAATGTCTCCCCAATTGTCGCCCAAATTGTTCACTAAAATAGACAATTTGGGAAGAGGAGACGCGATTATTCGAGCCTTACGACTCGTTTTTTATAATTAATTATAATTGTCAATAACTATAAAAACGAGCCGCGAGGCTCGAATAATCGTATCTCCTCTTCCCAAATTGTCCATCTTTGTGGACAATGCGAGCGTCAATTAGGGAGACATTACTGTATTCAGATCCAATTCGACTACATATATCGGTATGTTAGAAAATCTGAATATATATTTTTAGCGGCATATGTCAAGGTTATTTATTTGATCAATTTATTCAAGATTATTTGTATAGCATACTGTCAGAACGTATTAGAAAGATTATTCTTTTTTTTTCTCGGACATGATTCAATGAAACCGTGACAGCAGAGAAGGTTACGTGGCTACGTTTTATCATGAAGATGGCAGTTAAACGGTCGTAATGTATACACAACGTACGTGCTTACAAGGCTGACTAAGAAGTTCGCTCGCCCTTATTATGTGCACTTTACTATAAACTTGTATAACAGGCGCACATAATGTTGGCATCGACGTGTAATAAGAGCGCGCCTAAGGAAACGACGGAACTTTTTACAGCTCGTAAAACGGACACACGCGTCACGGTTCGGTTAACAACAATTTCCATTGCACACACCGACCTTGTCTGTCTTTCGCAGTTGCAATAACAAGTTTTGTACAAATTTGTATAACTTCTGTACGATTTTATTCTTTATCGTCGGCTTAAATGATACATAATCAGGCGCAATTGAATGGATTATTATGAATTCATTAGTTAGCTGTGTTTGACGAGTATATTCGTCGTCGCTTGATTCTCGCGACACATACAGATGCGCGCTCTAAAAAGTAGCTAACTGGTCACAGCTAACTGGTTAATATAGCGACGTAGCGATAATAGTGAATAGCGTAGCTATATATAATATAATATAATAATAATAATAATAGATAATATAGCATATATTAGCGTAGCTAATATAATATAATAATATAATAATAATAGATAATATAGCATATGTTAGCGTAGTTAATATAACATAATAATATAATAATAATAGATGATATAGCATATATTAGCGTAGTTAATATAACATAATAATATAATAATAATAGATGATATAGCATATATTAGCGTAGCTAATATAATATAATAATATAATAATAATAGATAATATAGCATATGTTAGCGTATAGCTAATATAACATAATAATATAGTAATAATAGATAATATAGCATATATTAGCGTAGCTAATACAATATAATAATATAAGAATAATAGATAATATAGCATATATTATAGCGTAGCTAATATAATAAAATAATATAATATATATTATTATATTATACGATAATAGCGTATAGGTAATATAGCGACGCCTGTCCACGTTCTGGTCGATCGTTTACCGACCGAGGAGTCGCTCGTGCCGGTCGGCCGAACAATTACAGCGTAGGAAATCCCGTCTCGGACGGAACGGTTTCGGTAAGATTTTGAGTCGGCCCCGGAGGCAGGTTAGTCGGCGTCAGATTGATAAAGGCGGCTAGAAAGAGCCCGGTGAGAAGTGTGCGCGGTCTCGCGAAGAGGGATGTGCCGGGCCGGGTCGGTCCGGGTGTTGTCGGGTCGGGACGGGCCGGGCCGGGCCGGGCCAGGGGGGGTCCAAGGGGTTACCCGTGGCGCAGGTAGAAGCATGGCTGCGCCGAGATTAATCTTCGCCCTCGACCAAGGAAGGAAGTTGGATTCCGTTTCCTGTCCGTAGGCGGTAGGTTTCGACCTTACAGCGGGGCTGACGCGGCAAGTTCCCGGGGGCGGTGGTGTTCCTCGGGGTTGGTTCGAGTTACAGACCAGTGGAGCGGCTAAACTCGACCCTTCCGCAACCACCCTCGTTTCTTCCTCGCCAGCCGCCAGTTTAGTGGCTCGTCTAGAGTTGTAATCGAAGCCACCGCCACCGGGCCCACCCCCATCACACCCCATCCCACCCGAACGTTCGTCGTGTACAAATATTCCTGTATCGGTTTGTGTTGCAGCAGCTTCGTTCTCGCCGGGCCGTGTTTTTCTAAGAACGGTGTCTCGGTCTCGGTCTCTCTCTCTCTCTTTCTCTCTCTCAACGGCCGGAGACGCTGTTGTCTGTTTGCCGAGCAATTTGCGGGAACGAACTCCGCAACTATTTTCTCGATCTTGCGCCGCCATCTGGCGACGATCGCGGTTGTACAGGGTCGAACGTCGAAGCGATTGGTCCGAGACCGAATAGTATGCGTATCTATGCACCACTTCGAACAATTCCAAAAAACAATGAATAAAACGCACGAATCTCTACAAGAGATCATTAATCGTTTTATTATTATAACCACTGAACATTAATTAATTGCCTTTGTTTCAAATCCGTCCAGGTACCTCCGACGCACCCTTACGATTCGTCTACGACGAATTAAACCGCGTTCCTATGGAATGTGCTCCCTTAGCCAGCATCCCCCGACAGTTTTCGCTAGCACCGAAATCCGGGGAACTCGATGACCGCGGCAGGACATCCCTATTTTTCTTCGAAAGTATGCACCGACCACCTTGATACAATCTCAAGACCTGCAGGCTAATTTCACGGGACATTAGGTGCACGTACGAACCCGAGCACGTCGTCGGAACCACCCCCGGTATCGTCGGCCGGCCGTTATCCTCGAACAGACTCGCGAGTGGTCGCAACGACCTCGTGCACCCCGCAATCAACCGATGGCCGAGCATATCCGGCGGCTGGCCGAACGTTTGGCAACGAGAACGGGGTGCCGCGGTGGGCGCTAGATCGCGGGGGATCGCGGGAGGGTGACGGCGCGAAAGCCAATTTCCAGGACGTCGTCGGAAGCGTTGATTCGTCCTATTTAAATTCCAGGGGGACGCGGTAATTTTCCACCCTCTTATAATTCAATCGGGAACGGGTGGTACGTTCTCGCGCCCCCGATGGAGGGGGGTCGGCCAGCGTGGCGGGGGGTAGAACGGGGGCGGTATTAAAATAACATTGAATATAAAGTGGACGCGCGGCCGTGGGTGGGACGGAACAAAAGAGCGCGGGATAAAGGTGGGAAATGGAAAAAGATCGGGACAGGCTGGCGTCACTTGAAACCGTAAAACCCCTCGTAAATTGCCTTAAAGCCCTTCGATCGTGGACAGTGTGCGTCGGGTCCTCGATTCACACCCCGTTCCGGCCCCGGGCGATTTCGTCGAACAAAAGCCATCCGGGCGAGCGATAAAAGTGTGTTTAAAATTCCCGCGTCGCCGCGGGGCAATTGTTTTTAAGTCCGTCGCTTCGGCCGCCCCGTCCCTCAAGCCCGTTTTTCTTCCACGGCCGCCCCCCCTCCCACCCCACGTTTGCTACCGTGCTCCAACGTTCAGTCGCGGTCCCGTCTAATCTTTCGAGTTACGCGAAACTTTCTACGTGGCCCGGCTGCCTCTTGTCCTTTGTCTTCTTTTTTTCGTCCGCCCTTCCTCTGGTGGGAAGGGAAACTACCCCCTTCTCGTTCCCGCCCCTCGTCCTCTCTTGTTTCCGATCCTCTCGCATCTTTCTCTCTCGTTTGCCTCTTGTTTCGCGACCCTTCATTTTTTCTTCGATACCGATTCTCGCTCTCTGTTTCTCTCCCACTTTCTTTTTCTCTCTCTTCTCTCTTTCTCTCCCACTTTCTTTTACTCTCTCTTCTCTCTCTCTCTCTCTCTCTCTCTTATATTGAATTTGCATGAATGTGTATTGTTTTGTAATATAAAATATACCTTAGCTTTAGGTTATAGGTAATCAAGCATCCTCAGCTTTATCTTTAGCTTTAGGTCATAGGTACTCAAGCATTCTCAGCTTTATCTTTAGCTTTAGGCTATACGTAATTAAGCATCTTCAGCTTTATCTTTAGCTTTAGATCATAGGTACTCAAGCATTCTCAGCTTTATCTTCAGCTTTAGGTAATAGGTAATCAAGCATTCTCAGCTTTATCTTTAGCTTTTGATTTAGGTTACACGTAATCAAGCATTATCTTCAGCTTCTTCTCAGCTTTATCTTCAGCTTTAGGTCATAGGCAATCAACAATTCACTTTATCTTTAGATTTTGTTTACAGGCACCTAGCAATCTGAGCTTTAACTTCAGGTTCAAGTTATAGGTAACCCAGTCGACTCTACTTCAGCTCTCTCTCTCTCTCTCTCTCTCTCTCTCTCTCGTTCAATCATCTAGCTCTCTTCCTCCCTTTCTTCCTCCCTTTCCCTCTCTCTCCACCTTACACTCCAGAGCTCGCGCTACCCCCATCCAGCATAGCCGGCTTGTCCCGGCACGCCGCGCGTATTTTGC